GTTGCTCACTTGTCCAAAGCAGTTGCAGTTGAGTGATGCGCCGGCTCCCTTTCCCCCTGGGGCTGGGGCTGCTACCTCATCCCGAAAAGATGTGTTGCTTCATGATATCAGCTTACAGCAAATCATGCACAGATAACTTTTCAGACATTTAATTGTAATGCTTCCATGCTTAAATCACCAAAATGGCTTTGGAAAATATGAAATCTCTTCAAATTACATTCTCATGTAACTCAGAATTCACAGTATAACAGGGCAGTCTGTATACTTAAGATATTTGAAAATGGGTACATAAAAATGGCCTAGATTTTCAGGATTTTCTGTTTTTTTAAAACACACTATTGGAAATTCAATGAATAATTAAAACCAGCTATGCAATGTGCCTTTTTACCTGTACTGTATATAATAAATTTGGGTGTGGAAGGGACTTAGAGGCTGTATTAGTTTCCTAGGGCTCCCTTCGCCAGCTGGCTGAAAACACAAATTAATTCTCACATAGTTCTGAAGGCTAGAAGTCCAAAATTAAGGCGTTGGCCAGCCTGTGATCTCTCCACATTCTGGGTGGAATCCTGACTTGCCTCTTCCTAGCTTCCAGTGGCTGCCAGCAATCCTTGGCATTCCTTGGCTTGTAGCTACCCAGTCCAATCTCTGTCGCTGTCATCACATGACATTCTTTCTGTGTGTCTCTCTCTTCACATGGCATTTTCCTCTTCTTATAAGGATACTAGTCATATTGAATGAGGACCCACCCAAATGGCCTCATCTTAACTTAATTACATCAAAGACCCTATTTCCAAATAAGGTTACATTCACAGGTATTGGGGGTAGAGTTTAGGACTTTAACATATCTTTTGGGGGGAACAATTCAGGCCCTGAGAGAGGTCATTTACTCTCTCTCTCTACTGTGCATATGAATATGCTGTACAAGAGCTGTCCAATCTTAAGCCTTTGCCACAAGGCATGATAGTCAATTTTTAATTTTAATTTTTTTATTAAGGTATCATTGATATACACTCTTCTGAAGGTTGCACAAGAAAAAACAATGTGGTTATTACATTCACCCTTATTATCAAGTTCCCCCCCATACCCCATTGCAGGCACTGTCCATCAGTGTAGTAAGATGCCACAGAATCCCTATTTGTCTTCTCTGAGCTACACTGTCTTCCCCGTGACCCCCCACATACCATGTGCACCAATCATGATACCCCACAAGCCCCTTCTCCCTCCCTCCCCACCCGCCCTCCCCTTTGATAACCACTAGTCCCTTCTTGGAGTCTGTGAGTCTGCTGCTGGCATGATAACCAATTTAAATCAAAACTAGGTGGGGTACGGGCGGGAAGAAGACCTTGATACCAGGCCTTCTCACTCTCACTAGGGTGATATCTCACTAGGGTCATCAATATAAGAATTAAGATAGTCTTTTCTCCCTTACTAAATCCAGTTCAAAATCTAGTGTGCCCTCCCTGGGTGGTAGGATCCAAGCCACACACTGGGTTGCAAGTGGGACTCTGTCCTGGGGAAGAACACGGGCAGGAGGAGGGTGGGTGACCAAGGGTTTTTGGGGAAGACAGGCCTGAAGGGGAAAGGGTATTCCAGGTGGAGATAAAGTGACTGCAAGGGAGAGGGACCCGTGTAAATGTGCTTTGGTAAGGAGCAGCATGATCATCTGGCACAGAGATTCCTTGGAAATGAATGGTAAGAAGTCACACCTGGGCTAGGTGTACTGGTAGGAAATCTGTCAATCACTCTTTTTGTCTTCTCTTTAGGGTTATGAAGCCTCTTACCTCTACTTCTCTCTGTTTGCTTTGTAGTCTCTTTCTATATACCCATTTCTTCTTCTATTTATCTACTTGAACCTTAAAATAGCTTCCTCTGCTACTAACTCTATGACCCAGCTTCCCACTAACTCAGTCTTGCAGCGTTCCCATTTCTTGTTCCAAGGAGAGAAAAATGTGATTGGCTTCTAGGTCAGCCACCCACCTTTGACTCATAGCTGAGGCCAAGCTCACTTAGCGCAAAGAGGGCTACCCAGGCTCATCCTCGGTGAAGGCAGTGGAAGGAAATTTGCATTAGAAATGCAAATTGTGGGCCCCACCCTAACCTGTTGAATCAGTAGTTTGGGGGCGGGAGCCTAGGACACTATGTTAGAGCAACAGGTGAAGGCTGATTCTCTCAGAAGGCGATATGGGTAGAGACTACCATCTTAGCACACACCAAGGTAGAGGCCTGAGAAGGTGATAGCAGAGGTGAGTGGCAAGGGGCGGGGGTGGAGGGCCCACACCTGGAGAGACACAGGTCTTGGGTATGGCCTCAGCTTCCAACATGGGGACTAGGTCTGTTGGGAGGGGGTCAGGGAAGGGGTCACAGAGAAGAGATAAGATGTGAACTATTTTAAACCATGTCAGGACAGAAATGCACATGAGGATTTTCTGTGAATCTAACTTTGAGGACTTGGGACAAGCAGAGGCAGAGAGGAAATAAGTGGAATGGGGGAGGGAGGGCCAGACTGACAACAGCAAGTACTGGGAGCTATTCCTGGTTGCTTCATCAGTTTATAAGCTGATTTGGAAGAAGCTAGAACTAAATATTAAAGTAAATTCATGGTATTTTAAACAGAAGAATGTTGAATTTTAAGCAGTGGTAGAAACTGCGTAGTGCCTGGTGTTTGCTTTTTCCATGGTGCAAAATCTGTATTAAATTTGAAATTTACACTACAAAAATAGCTTCACAGGAGTACCATTATTAATATAACTTACCCTAGGACAGATTTTTCATTACTGGAGACGACTCTTCTATGTAAAAAATATATCAATGGCTGGAGCAGAAGAAAAATACCAACTACAGATGGTAAGCATTTTCTTGCAAAGTCACATCAAATTTAACATTAGCCTTGGAAAACAGGAAGATGTCTTAAACAAGGTTTTAAATATTCTTATAACTATGTTACAGATTTTCACCTCTGGTCTAGGATAACAACACAGTGTGCAACTTTAAGTGGTCACATTAATGGAAAAGTTGAAAACATATTCAAAAAATGCCATTTAGTGAGTTGTTACAGCATTTTTACTGGAAAGTTCTATTAAGTGGCATTTATGGAAAAAGACATATTTTATTGGTATGAAATAGGTGGAGTTAATATGAGACAGATGCCTAAAACAATGATTTGATAAAAGGTGCACAGTTCTACTGAGAGCAAATTAGAAGTCATAAGGGAATAAATAAGACTTAGAAAAGATTTTCTGCAATTCCCATACCCATTACCATTAGAATATATGTAGGTACAATTTACCTTGGAAGTGGATTTCTATTTCAGGTGAATTCCCTGAGAATTGTATTCCTTCCTTTTTCTCTCTCAAAAATATGTTTAAAACTGTAGCCATGATGAAGCAATGCTGTGCATGTAATGCTGAAATTTAATCTAATGAAAGTTTAGCTCTCTTTAATTCTATGAATAGGTTTTAAATATTATTCTTACCTGAATCTTTTGTTTTAAACACTCCGATTAAAACATACACACAGGCAAACCTAAATAGAGTCCTGTTGCGTATATTCAGTGTGTATACATTTTTCTGCACTGTCATGCACTTAAACGTACTGCTTTAAACCTCACAGCCAGCACTCAGTTCCCCATCCCATTCTGAAATCCTAACTTCTGTCACCTAATACAAAGCACAAATTACATTAGTGGGTGGTTGGGAACAAAGTGTCTGCCAAAAGAACAAGGCAAACGTATGTACATATCAGTTACGTTAAGTTTTATTGCCATTATCCACCCAGTCTTTTAAACTGTGATAACAGCTATTGTTCAAATTGACCCGTGTATCTTCAGAGCTTCTGTAGTACAAAGAAGCATTTCTGAAGGATCTTGTTCACTGCTTTGCACATAGTAGGTACTCAGTATTTGCTGAATGACATTTTTAGCACTGGGCCCTGAATTTCAAAACTGCCAGAACTTGATATAATTTTTTTTTGTTTTTTTGAGAGGGCATCTCTCATATTTATTGATCAAATGGTTGTTAATAAAATTCTGTATAGGGGAGTCAATGCTCAATGCACAATCATTAATCCATCTCAAGCCTAATTCTCGTCAGTCTCCAATCTTCTGAAGCATAACGAAGAACTTGATATAATTTATGGAATACTTTAATTGTAGGGTTGTATCCAGACTGGTAACTTCATCTGGAGAATAAAGTGACACTACTGATGAACTAAAAGTAACCACTGACATTGATTTAGGATTACAGTGTATTAGACTTATTTTTAAGTGTAAAATATATTAAATATTTAAAATTGCATTAGTAAACAGCCTTAAGCAAAATCTTCCACCGTTATCCTTAGTTTTCATTGTGCTAGCTACCTTTGCATGCATATATACTTTTTGTTCTGCTTTTAAACTTTATTTGCAAACTCTTCCATATTCTATCATCTCTGTAATTGCCACTTAAGTGGTTGCATAAAAATCCACGCGGTTAATGTAATATAATTCACCATAAAGCTGTTCGCTCATCCCCCATTTGTTATTAACCAAACTTCACAATGAACATCCCTGTATTGTCAAATGACAAGAAAATATTTCTAAGAGCGCAATTACAGGGTCAAAGTGTAAGGTAGACTTACTTTCATTTAATTTTCAATTTTTTTCTCCAGCGATAATCAAATACAGTACAGTGTAAAAGGCTTTTCATACATTGCTCTCCAAGGTTTATCTTGTTAATAATCCTTTAAGGCATTATCATCATCCTACTATCCTTGCGCTACAGCTGGAAAAAGAGCCCGAGCGGACAGGTAACCTGATCTTGATCACCAGGAGAGCCCAGGATGGAGGCGGCGACTACGATACCAGGAGCAAAACACTCCAGGGGTTTTGCTGGAGCTCTCGGTATGGGAAAAGGGTCTCTTCTCTCACCCCAGCCATGCTAAATTCCAGGAGGGGAGAGGACCCTGTGCTGATCTGGCTCGCCCCAGCCTTTCAGAGCACCCTGCACGCAGTGGGCGTCTAATAAATGCAGTCTGCGTTGCTCCGACAAAAGCTTTCCCTTAGGTGGGCTGGGCCCTGGACCCCTCCGGGTGCTACAGAGCTCCGCGCTGCCACTTTGTCCCTTTGCCCGCCCCCTCCTCAAGTTCTGCGTGGGACCCTTGGCTGCAGCGCACACCCTCCGCGACCGCCCGCGCTAGGAGCAGGCCCGGCTTCGAGCCCCGGCGCCCCGACACCCGGCGCTCGCCCGCCCAGGCCCCGCCCCGCCCGGCCGGCTCCGCCCCCCATCTCCTCCCCGCCCCCCAGCGCGGACGAGTGGCTGCGGCGGCCAGAGGACCCGGCTCCCTCAGACAAGAGGGCGGGTGGAGGAGGAAGCGGCCGAGCCCCGAGCCACTTTCCGGCGCCGCCGAGCACCGCCTGCCTCAGCCGACCAGCCGCGGCGGCTCCTGGGCCTCGCGGAGCCGAGAGGAGCGACAGGCGGAGGCGGCTGCGTGGAGGCGGCGCGGGCGCGGGCGGAGGCGGCGCGGGCGGACGCGGCTGCCGCTTTGTTGTGCGGCCCGGGCCGAGGAAGGAGAAGTGGGAGGAGGGGGGAGCTCGGCGTCCTGCTCCCTCCGCGACTCATGGCGACGACGCTCGGCACATCCGGGACCCTCCGGCCGCGGCGGCCGCGGCGCCGGCTGCTCGGGCCCCAGCCCCGGCCGCTGTGGTGACTCCCCCGCGCCTCGCCGTCGCCCCCGCCCCGCCCGCAGCCCCCCGGCCCCGGGCCCCGCGCCGCGGCCGCAGCCCCGCCGCCGCCCCCGCCGCCGGGGACATGTCTAACCCCGGGAGCCGGAGGAACGGGCCCGTCAAGCTGCGCCTGACAGGTGAGGGGGCCGGGGACGGGCGGGCGGCGAGAGCTCGGCGGGGCGGCCGCGGGGTGGGCGAGCCGGCTTGGGGGTGCCTGCGGCTTGGGAAGCGCCAAGGCCTCGATCGGTGGTGAGTTGGGGGTCGGGGACGTGGGAAGGCCTAGTTTAGGGAGACTAATGGCAAAACCACTCGCCCTTGTTTGGAAATTCTTTAAAAAGCCAAAGGTGACTCGGGGGTCTTTGCTGAGGGGAGGAGAACCCCGGGTCGCTTTCCAGGCGGATTTGAGGTCGAGGAGCCTTGGCGAAGGAGCGCGGCTGTGCGCCGGGCCCTCGGGGAGCAGCCCCTGGGCCGCTGCCCAGGTGAGGTCGTGGAGGGGGATGAAGAGCTCTGTGGCGGGGATTATTGAATCCGGTTGCTGACTGCGCGCAGTAAACACTCCTTAAAGATGGAGCGCTTAACGGGAGGGGGTGTGTGTGTTCCCTGGGTGTTAACTTGTTTGCCCGCTTAATGCCCGCGTGCAAAACCTTCACCCCGCTGCCAGCCACAGCCCCCGGTGCCACACACCTAAAACCCGGCTCTGCGAGGGAAGGAGACCTTGGTTGACTTTTCCGGTGTGTCTCCCTGATCCGACGACTCGGACTCATCGTACACTGTTTTGGAAGTGTTTGATTGCAGGGTAGCATGTTTTGGGTTGTTCCTTGTAGGCCATAGAACTTGTGTCTGACTTCCAACTCTAGACTTGCTTTAAAAACAGTTTTTTTGGGGGGGTTCGTTTCCAAGTATGTGCTCATACAAACTTTGAAGCGAAGTTTTCTCTCCTCATCCTCTTCCCCTTTCCTTTTCTAAATGGAAAAGAATGCCTGGTGAGACTGTTAGATAGGCTTCTGTCTTACAAAGTGTTTATGATTCCAAGTACATTGAATCTTCAACATTGCAGGTACATTTTGCTTACAGTGCCATTTTTGGTATCCTAACAGGGTCGTGTGATCCCATTTTAAGGAAAAATTATTTTTGGTTTGAAAAATGTTTTTGAAGTCAATATAGTTATCCTAGTTTCACTATTCACTGTTAAATTATCCTCCTTGATAATCGGATGTGCGGTGAGAAAGATGGTTTTCCTTAGAGAATCTGTGTGTGTGTGTCGGGGGGGGGGGTGCGAGTAAGAGTAAACTGTAATTATGTTTGCCTACACTAGACTTTGAGATTTATATGAATTTTGTAATTGAATGCTTGTGTGTCACATCTGAACTTTCGAGATAAAAACTTGCAGTAAATTTGGTATTTGAGAATTTAGCCTGACTGTACGTTGGCTGCGATTTTTAAAATATATTCCTTTCATGACAGTTTTAATTGCAAAGAATCATAAACTGAGTGTTTCTTAATGGGAAACTTGGATTGGGGTATGCCTGTCTTCCCTGTTTTCCCCATTCAGTTTCCTTTTTTAAAAATGAATCAAGAAAACTTTATAACCTTTTTTTGCTTTAGAGTTTATCTACTGTTCCTCTCTGGAGTCAGTCCTGTCATGGAAAGAACCTGTGACTCCAGGTGTTGAAAAGCATCGGAAATAGTTTGTTAGCCATTTACTTAATTCTAGACTACATACATGAGAAAATGAGGGAGAAAACAGGGATTTGATTTTCTGCATATAAAATGAGTTTGAGGTTTTAGTGTGACTCAGTAGATCTTAAAGTGTTTATCTGTGGTTTCCTTACTACATACGATACATTGTAAAAACTCATGAGCAAAGTTAGGAGAAACAGTGAGCCTTATTTTTTGGGGCGGCAGAGAACAATCACTGGAACAAATTTATAGAGTGATTTTGTATTTTTAGATTTTTGAGGAATTTAAATACACTATGTCCCTTTAATTGTAAAAACAGTTTGAGGTAGTTTCAATTTCTTAAAACCGTTGGGAATTTGCCTCTGTCATATTTTAAGAGAAAACTATCCAAATATTGAAAACATTGCCCTCTCTTATTTGATTACATATGGTGGATGCTCTTCTATTTCAGCAGGGAAGTTAACTATACAGTTTTTCATTTTTGTTCATTTACAAATTAGATGGTATAGATTTTTAACAAATAGGTTTCAAGAGCTGGATTCAATTAGCAGCTTTTTAGGACATAAACATTAAAGGGTTAGATGGAAAAGATTGTTTTGACTGACTGGATAAATGACAGGGCTGTGTTTGATGTGCGTCCAGGAATTGGTCTCGAGCTGGTGCCCAACTTTTCAGTTCATCTTGAGAAGCCAAATAAAATATTTAACCTAGGCCTCGTTTTTTTTTTTTTTAAGTTGATTCTTTGTTAAGACCTTAAAAAATGTTTGGCATATCTTTAGACTAAGTGTTTAACAGTTCATTTAGATCGGGGTTCCATAATATTGGAAAATCACTAAAACAACAAAAGTAACAAAAAACATCCCACAGTGAATTTTTATTTGGTTTTCATACACTTGGGCTGTAAGATGCTTTGAAATTGTTATACTTTGTTTTAAGTTAATACCATGTTAGTATTTTAAAATTTATAAAGTGACTTTGATTCCAGGGTGCTTTATGTAGTTACTAAATTATAGCTGTAATGTGGAGTTGCCCCTTTATTGAAGGGTAACACTTCTAGCATGGTGATGTACTTTTTCTTTCACTCTCCATACACACACAAAACTAAAGAAGAAATATTTGAGCCATAACATCGCTGCTCACACTAGATACTGGACTTCCCCACATATTTTTCCAGAGACTACAATCAACTTTATTTTATTTTATTTTATTTTTTATTTTGGTATCATTAATATACAATTACAGAAAGAACATTATGTTTACTAGGTTCCCCCCTTCACCAAGTCCCCCCACATACCCCTTCACAGTCACTGTCCATCTGTGTAGTAAGATGCTGTAAAATCACTACTTGTCTTCTCTGTGTTGCACAGCCCTCCCCGTGTCCCCCACGCACTATACGTGCTAATTGTAATGCCCTCTTTCTTTTTCCCCGCCCTTTTCCCTCCCTTCCCACCCATCCTCCCCAGTCCTTTCCCTTTGGTAACTGTTAGTCCCTTCTTGGGTTCTGTGATTCTGTTGCTGTTTTGTTCCTTCAGTTTTCCTTTGTTCTTATACTCCACATATGAGTGAAATCATTTGGTACTTGTCCTTCTCCACTTGGCTTATTTCACTGAGCATAATACCCTCTAGCTCCATCCATGTTGTTGCGAATGGTAGGATTTGTTTTTTTCTTAAGGCTGCGTAATATTCCATTGTGTATATGTACCACATCTTTATCCATTCATCTACTGATGGACATTTAGGTTGCTTCCTTATCTTGGCTATACAATCAACTTTTGAACAGTTTGGTGTTTGTTAATGCTAATAAGGACACAGCTAATTTAATCCCAGATTTGAAGTCCTCAGGCCACTGGTGGTTAAAATCTGATTTGGTCCATCAAGCTGCTTCTGTTATTCTTTATGACACAATTACACTTGATCACAGAATGGGCTGTATGGTAAAGCTGTTTCAGTTTCAACTAGTATTTCTAGAGTAAATTAATTATAAAATGGAAAATTTGAATATATTATACTTATATAGGCTTTGGATAGAAAATATTCTTTGTTTTTGGTTATAGTAAAAAATTTGGGCAACTTTTTATATTGTTGTTTTGAAAAACAAAGGATGGAAGAAGCAGTTTAGTATAATTTCTAGTATTTAAAATTCTTAGATGTGGAGAAATAATATCACTTCTCCAGAACACTTATTGCAGATATTTTGTTATTTGAATGTTTTTGTAAGCTGTTCCTCATGTTATTAAAATATAAAAATCCTTGGCAGTAATGAGATAAACCTTGTCTATAGCTTAAGAAAAAATAAGTCTCTCTTTAGATACAGTGGTATCTTCTTATTGTTTTACTGCTTGTTTTATTGATTAAAGGCCTTAAAATTACAACTTGATTATATCTCACAGGTTCCTAAGTAGGGGTGTTAGTGATTTGAATGTCCGCAATTAATTTACTTGCTGTGTTTCTGAGGAGAAAGCCAACGTAACTCCTTCCTCTTCTCTTGAGTTGTCTCTTCTAGTCTAACCTTCAGATGGGCAGTTGAACCTGCCTAGATGTTTCGTGTAGTTGGGTTTTCATTGATGAGTAAAGCGTGTGTGTGTGTGTGTGTGTGTGTGTGTGCTTAAATCATGGATTCTACTTTTTGTTCCAGTTGGTTTAACTGGATCAAAACATAATAACGTCATTTAGTTTATACTTCAGCATACACAGCATATAATTTAATTTTCAAGGTAAATGAAAGCCCACACAGGCACATAAAATTTTAATTTTTGTCATTTTTGATGTCTTTTGAAGATTTTTGAAAGCTTTTTAAAGTGTAATGTGTTATTCTTCTTTATAGACCATGCTTAATAAAACAATGTTTTATTTATAATTCAGTGTCATTGTGAATATAAATTGTGTTGTTGTAATGTGTAGTATGAGGGTATGATCATGGTGTGTACAGAGAACTGTCTAACCCTGGCTATATGGAGATGTATTGTTTTACCCTGTTCTTACTACTTTTTTTCTTTTGCCCTCATTTTTGTTTACTGTGACTTTCTCTATTCTAAGAATGCTGGACCCTTGAAATATACTGTTGTAATTAGCATTGTTATGTGTTTCCTTATGACTGACGTGTATTGAACACTTATTAAGTGTGAGACACTGTATTAAATTTACATATATTATCACTCTTAGTTCTGACAGTAGTTCTAAGAAGTTGGAGAAACTTGAATTGAATACATGTCGGAACTTAAGTTGTCTAGAAAGCCTGTTATAAACTTACACAATTTTGTGTGGAAAAATGAAAATAATACATTCCATTTATTTGGAATTATCCTTGCCTCTTGAGATCCCTGCTGGTCTTTTAAGGATGGACTCAAGGATTACTCTTAACCCTAGAACTTTCCTTGACCTGAGTTGACTTTCCGTGACTAAGGGTGCTCTTCCTCTAGTATCAGATCTAGTTCACTGAAGGGTGTTTGTTATCTCT